ATGAAAATTGTGCCTGTGTCCAAATATATATGGCCCTAACTGTATGTGGGGGGACAGTATTGGAAGAAAAGATCTGTAATAAGAATATGTTGAACCATCAGCATCCGGAGATTTATAGGAGGGTAAATGTTTAACTACATCTGCTAATTCCTCAGCGGTGATTGCTGAGTTCACTGTAGATAGATTAGCCTGGGATATTTTGGGTAAATGGAGGGAGGCAAAAATGGAGTCATATTTTTCCTGTGTAAATTGAAAATGAGAGTCAGAGTTTAGACAGTTATATAGCTTATAGTAGAATTCACCAAAAACCCTGGACATATGTGGGCAATCATATCCTGTGGGGCTTATTTGCATATTCATGAAACTTCTGCTTAGCCCATAGTAAAGCTTTAGTCATTTTGTTTGAGTCCAAAGATTTGATGCGTTTGCGGAGGGAAGCACCCCGTAGGTGTTCCACTGTGGGAGAATGAAGTAGTAGAGTTTCCGCTTTGCGTAGTCGAGTGAGAAAGGAAGATCTTTGGAGAGTGGCTTCTCTTTTCAGATGAGGACCAGCGGATATGCATTTGCCTCTTAAAGCCTTTTTTTTTTTTTTTTTTTATCTGATTCCCATATGGCGGAAGCCTCAAATACTAAACCTGCATTAATCTGAAAAAAAAAAATCAGTCAGTTTCTGAGCAAGATGATCATTAACAGAGGGCTTTCGTAAATAATTTAAGGTGCCAGTGACAAACTCTATTTGTAGGGGTAGAGTTAAGCAGGTCCAAAGTTATAGTGTGGTCTGACCACGTGATAGGGTTGATCTGAGGCTACCATATGTGATAATAAAGATGCGGTTACAAAAAAATAATCTAGTCTCGTGTGGGATTATGGGAGGGTGAATAAAATGTAAATTGTTTGATTAGGGTGTTTAACCCGCAATGCATGAAAGAGATTATGGGCTTGAACAAATTTACGGAAAGAAGCAGAAAGTTTAGAAACGTTAGCGGAAGGAGTAGACTGGAACTATGACCTTCTATTCTTGCTGGGAGACATATGCATATCAAAGTCACCTCCGATAATTATAAAAGGCCTGGAAAATTTCTGCATTTTCTCAAAATTTCTGTGAGGAAATTTGTTTGACCTGAATTGGACGCATAGATGTTGATCGAAGTAAGAGAGGATGCCATCTAGTTGCAGTTTAGGAAAATAAACCTACCATTGGGATCCAAGAGGGAATATTTGATCTGCAACGAGCATGTATGTCTAAGGTTGCCACTCCTGCCTTCCCGGATGAGTCTGAAGCCACATAAGTGGTAGGAAAGTGTTTAGAAGCAAATTTAAATGACCCACCAGAGCGGAAGTGAGTTTCCTAAACCATGACCACGCTAGCATTCAACGATTTGAACTCTTTCAGAGCCAACCACTTCTTTTGAATAGAGTTCAAACATTTCACATTCTAAGAAAGGACTAATAAAGCCATAGTATAACTTTAAGGGTACATGCAAGCATAATCTAAATAACACAGATGCAAGAAGAGATCCATGGTATATGGAAAAAAAAAAAACAATGTAGGCATACCATCAGAAAATAAACTTGGTAAACAACAAATTCAACTAGTAGAATCAGTCAGATCAAAAACGGACCTGAGGAAAAACAGAAAACCCCAAAACTCGAAACTTGAGAGGCCAAGGCTTCTCAGGGATCCAGGGCCAAAGCCCCAGATAAAATAGAGCAGCATAGAGACCCTCAAAATCTGGCAGGGGGGGTTCACCCTCTCCAGATGGAAGCCAAATAAAGCTTGTAACTCAGGAACTGCTGTTTAAAAAAGAAAATCAAGGTAAAGTTGGTGGAGAATATTGTTTCTTGCAACCCATGGGGAAAGGATCTAAACCCACAATTAGGTACTTCAGTGTATGAGGAACACTCGGTCCACCCAAAAAGGTGTAATGCATGGAGATCTCAGGAATGATCAAGTTGGGTCTCTGAAAGTAGAAGCACATTGAGGAGTGGAGAATTTGTTTTGCGATTTTCTTCTGCACTAGAGCCCAAATCTTGCCCCGATTGGAGAGAGGCCTCGGTGTTGTGTGGGGAGGCAGAAAAGCTTCCTCCAGTAAACCCAAATTGCAGATAAAGGCCTCACCTTCCTGGAGATCATGGATGGAGTATTGCACCCCATCTTTTGAGGTCGATAGGCGGAAAGGGAGCCCCCAGCGATATTACACAATGGTTTTGTAGATGGGAGGTGATGGAGCAAAGATTTCTCAGTTTAGCCAGAGTGATAGGTGATAAATCAATTAAGATCTGAATCTTGTCACCTTTATAATCTAGACGAGCTTTCTTTGCTTTAATAATAATGGAAATGGACTATGATGTCCCTAGGGTTGGGGTCTGCCCTTTCCTTAGGGGCCAGAGCTCTATCCATACGCCAGTCTGTCAGGTATACGAGGGGCTAAGGTGGTAAAAAGACCCAAAAGATAATGGCGAATGTTGAGCTAACTGACGGTTTCCAGGACCCCTTGGATTCTCAAATTTTGCCACCTCACCCTGTATTCTAAATCTTTTTGTTGTGTTTGAAGTTGTTGTGAGATGGAATGTTTAAGTGTTGCATTATTTTCCTCCAGGACATGAACATATTGTACCAATTCATCAAATTTAGTTTCCAGGGTGTCCGTGCGCTCCCGCAATTGGTTTATTTCTCCTCTCAACTCCTGTGCAATTTTCCCCAACTCTCTAGTGATATGAGTTATAATATGCAATAGGATTTGCAGCTTTGAATCCAGGACCTCCACAGTAACAATGGAGGAAGGGTCCACTGGTGGAGGATAGGAGGCAGCTGAATGGGTCCCTTCAGCGATCGCGAACGAATCTGTGGGTTCGGGCGCCTCCGACTGCATACTTGAGGTCAGGGATGCAGGCTTAAACAGGAAGCAGACTAACGTTGGAGGAGGCCATGGCTCCTGGGGCGGTGGGGGGGAGGTATGTTTCTGTCTTCCAATTTTCTCCATGGGATGTCCAGTGCCCTTGGGAGTTTACAGCTTATTCCCGTGCCTCTGAGTGCTGTGAAGGCAGTGTGGGAGTCCTGGAGAGTGGGAGGAAACCAAAGCCTCTAGATTAACCATCCCCTATCTTCAAAGGTCGCGCATGCACACCTCAGCACCTTGATCTCTTTTTCTTTTTTTTTGACATTTCCAGTTCACTGAATGCTGATAGTATAGCTTTTTTCTGTACTGCAGTGCTATGAACGGAGGGAGATGCGGCTCTGTTACACAGCAGCTGCAGCCTCTGCTCGCCCCCTCTCTCACAGTTTTGGATTTTGCGAATGGGTCCACAGAATGCAAAACATTGTGATTGGCCAAGGGGACAGGAGGAGGGGTGGGCAGTGCAGCTGTAAGCAAAGCTATGGCTTCTGTGTAGGACATCTGTAGTTGGGATGTTTGAGCGCCGGCAGTATAGAGATATTTATAATATCTGTGCTCACTGAAACAGTAAATTGTATTTAAAAAAAAAAGTGTGAGAGAGCTCAGATGTTATATGCCTCATATGTCATATACCTTGTCAAACAGATTTTAAATAGTTTTTTTTTCCTGGAGTTTTTTCTTTTTAAGACTTTTTTTTTTTTTTTTTTTAGTGATTGTAGAGGCATTATTTTTTTTTTTTTAATAAACATTTTATACTTACCTGCTCTGTGCAATCATTTTGCACAGAGCATTCCTGATCCTTCTCCTCTTGGGTTCCCCACTGGTGCTCCTGGCTCCTCCCCCCGAGTGCCTCTTGAGCAAGCCACTTGCTATGGGGACACTTGTGCTTGCTCACTCCCAAGCCTCCTCTGTGTGTTCTTAAGAGACGCAGAGCGTGGCTTGGCCCTGCCCCCGCTCTCCACATTGGCTGTGATTAACAGCAGCGGGAGCTAATGGCTCCCACTGCTGTTTCTGCCCCATTGAGGAAAGAGCCTCTGCTCTCATTCACATCGTTGCTGGATCAAGATCAGCATCAGGTAAGTATTTAGCAGCTGGGGGGGAAGCTGCTTGTAGAAGGGTTTTCAACCTTAATGCAGAGAAAGCATTAAGGTAAAAACCTTCTGCCTTTTTACGACTACTTTAAAAGCTGTAATTTTACTGCAGCCTGAAATCAGGAGTGTGATTTTCTATAAAACTTCAGTTGAACTTTAGGAGCTTTTGAGTAGATATGGAAAAATAAAACTGCATGTAAGCCGCAGGGGGTAACTGCTGTTCACTCTCACTAAAAACTTTAAGTACAGGTCCCTTTTAATGCAGACTACATACATGCACCCAGTGACTTCTGAACATCATTCTAGAATTTTTGTGCCAGGTCAGTAATTCAGTGGTCAGTGAAGCCAGGATTCAAATTAAAGCCCAAGATCGTGCTCCATTAAATACAAGTCAGTGGTTCCCTTTAAGCATACTTGGAAAATATGCTAAAATCTGTATACAAACCATAATGTCTGGCATCTCCTACTCTTGAATTTCTTTCTTGCATTTGGTTTCCTACTAAATTATAAATGTACTTTCATGCCCTGCGATGTCTCATTAAGCCTAAATTCTCAGGATTTCCATTCATTTTCCACTTGGTATTCTGATCCTACAGACAATTGTGGTGATGATTTTGCCACACCAAAGGAGTGACAGCTGTGCTACCTCCAGCTCATTACTGTGGAGCGAAGTTACAAACACGTGCCGTATGCAAAAGACCCTTACAGGACTGCATGGAGGTGTCCAGCTCTTTGATAGTCATTTAGTTTAAAGTAGAGAATGCACTGAAATTGCATCCGATTTCCTGTTTACATATCATTTTTAAAATGATTTTATCTTAATCCTAGAGTACTGGGCACATAAATCATAGACCATATTTTATAGCAAATTTGTGGTATTACAGGTACACAAAGATAGTGTGTGTATATATAGTGCCATCATTTCCTTTTAAAAAATGTCTTTTTCTACTTTTACAGTAATGTAGTGATATTATAGAATAGAGAACTTTTGATGGCAATATTTTTCTTTCAGAGCATTAAGAAAAAGAACATAAACAAACAGGAGATGGGCAAATACCTGCGATTCATTGTGTCTCGTATGAAGGAAAGGGTAAGCTTGGCTTATTTTAGTTCAGTGAAACCCACAGTGTTGTCTTGTGCTTCTAGTAGCCCCATTTTACGGACTCAGCTGCTCTCCTTATGTTTAAATGTTACTGTAATCCTTTTATATTAAATGATTATTGCATTGGGAACTAAGTGCAAAGGAAAAAACCAAAGCTTTTAGTAATGTATGTGTCAATCTCCATATAGACATAATGGGCAATTGTTTTGCTTTTCGAGTGCATCAATCCATAAGTTGTACTCTTATCAGTTTTCTCACTGCAGCCAGTGGTGTAGGTTGTGAGTTATAGCACTATTAATTACAGTGGTAATCCTTTATTTTAGAGGTAAACTATATATGGTGGAAGGACCTGGGTTATATTGTACATTGACAGCTGATTTACACATAGGAGAGTGTGTATGCAGCCCTTGGACAACTTGCTTAGCCGCTAAAGCTTGCCATAAATGGATTGAATCTCAGCCGGTTCAACAGAAACCGGACGATATTAAATCCATCTATGGGCAGGCTGGTTGTACTGTAGTCAGCAACCAGTACAACCACCCTGTCAGGCTATAGGCGCCAGCAGTGATCATTGAATTCTGCCACCAAGGAAGGCAACCTGCTGGCAGAACACAATAGCACTGCGGCAAAGATTCCTCCACCAACACTGACTGTATTGATGGGGTAATCAATCAACTTTCTTTCCTTCCACCCTTGATGGAAAGAAAAGAGAACTGCATAATCTATGGCCTGCTTAAATCCCTAACATGAACATTCTTATTTTCAAACATTTTGTGTTTTAGCACCTCTGACACTGATCTATTGGGGAGGGGGGTTTGTAGGAATGGCACAAGGTTTTCCAATATAGTCTGGTTGCTACTTGTACCACCACCCCCTCACCTCATCCCCTGAAAAAAAATTATAATTTATTTGGTTTACTTTGAATTGAATGTATAAAACAAAGTTTTCCTCAATTGCTTCTGGACGGGACCAAATGCTCATTCTGTACAGTCTGTGTCTGTCTGTCTCTTCAGTGCGTGAGGCAGTAGAAATCTCATTGAGAGGGAGGCACCTGAGCTCTCTAGTCTGCATATATATTTTTTTTTTTTTTCAGAGCCATTCAAATGATGGGTATACCAGCATTAGGAGTTTAGTTTGAGGGCGGCTACATGCAAAACTTGCATATTCCAAAGAAAACGTGTACATTTTTAAGAAAATAAAATTATCAACTTTGTCAGCTGGGAATGTATAGGGTGGTAGTGATTTCTTATACCCTGAAACTTTAGAGAAATAGGAATGTGTGATCATGAAGAATGTTATTTTTATGTTGCAAATTATAATCCACATACTCCCACCTCCCCTTTTAAATATCTTTTAGCTCTGATACATTTCTGAAACTTGCACATATTTGCCCGTATTGCTGTATTTTTTTTAACAGGTCCTATATTAAAAATCTCTTGGTCCCTGCAGCTACTAAAAAGAAAAAAATAGAATGGGTCTTGTAATTTACTTGAAGAGATTGGTATGTTTTCCACACTTCCCTGCAGGCTTCTGCCTTCTCTTTACATCCTGCAGAGGGAACTGCTCTACTATAGAATGTTCATGAGAAATGGGAAAGTCATTGTGACAGCAGTCTGTTACCCAAAAATGCCTTCCAGTGAGAGGCTTCCTATCAGCATAGCAAGATGTAAGCATACTAGAGGAGGCTGCAAGGAAACACACCAATCTCTCTTGATAAAATACAGCAGAGGCATTTTTTTTTTTTTTTTGTGCAGGTTTCGGTGACCACATAATTATTCTTTAAGAACCTTTGCACATGTTGCATTGCACAGGGTGCATAGCCATCTGTAATAATTCCACAACCAGTGGGGTTAACATGATGTTTTTTTTTAAAGATCCCAACTCTGAACACAAACTTCTGTCCAAGAGTAGCTCAGTTGCTCCTCCATAGAGGAACTACCCTAAGACAGGAAGTATGCTACTGGTCAGATCACTAGGTGATAATAAAAGGGGGGGTAAAGTCTTTAGATATGAAAAATTTAAAAAAAATTTAGCTTTCAAACCAAATAATTTTATCTTTTCAGGCAATTGAACTTAACAAGAAAGGGAAGGATACAAAACATCCCATGTACAGAAGACTGGTGCATACAGCCATTGACGTTTCTACTATAAATGAGGTAGTTTCTTATCTAGTTTCATAATTCGTAATATTATAGTACTCATAAAATATTTTCTTCCAAAGCTGAACATTTAGTTGAAGTAATTTTATTTGGAATGACATAATCATGTATCATATGGGACTGAGAAATGCCGTTCTTCTTTCAACAAATGTTTAACCAGACTGCATTTTTTTTTTTTTTGACAGAAAGTGAATGAAGGAAAGTACAAAAGTTACGAAGAGTTCAAGGCAGACGCTCAGCTTCTCTTGCACAACACCATTATTTTTTATGGAGGTGAGTTTTGATGTTCTTGTTTCCTGCTTTGTTTTTTTCTTTTTTCCTTTTTTACCTATAATGTGGTCTTCATTGCCAGGTCAGGGCATGGTCTTTGCAATCTCCTTCGTTCAAAATAAATAGGATTGCAAAACACATGTGTAGGCCATGCTAGGAAGGTAGGGAGGAGGCTGGGAGTTCTCATAGTGTGTATGGCATGTCATACATTATGCAATTTTCTTTCCTTTAAATTGCTTGATTCCACCATCAACACAATCAGTCGTGATGGGGGAATCCCTCCCATTGCACTGTTGTATTCTGACAGCAATAGGTTTCCCAGCCGTCAGAATAAACTGATTAAAGCTGCCAGCTATAGCTACTGGCGTTGATCGAGAAAAAAAAAAGGCTGGTTGTACTGAAGTCGATTGTTCGACTTCAGTACAACCAGCCTGCCAATAAATGGAACAACATTCGTCCACTTCTTTCTAAACCGGTCGAATTTTGATCCGTGTATGGACGGCTTATTTTTGGTATTGTCCAGAAGTAAGCTGGCCATAGATGGATTGAACCTCAGCCAGTTCAGTAGAGACCAGCCGAGATTCATCCCATCTATGTGCAGGCTGGTTGTACCTGAAGTCAATCGATCGACTGTCGAATTTTTTCATATGCAATGACTGCCAGCGGCTAGTCGCTATCAGTATTCATTGTGTTCTGCCAGCCAAGAATGATTCCCATTAGCAGAACAGAATAGCTTCGCAGGAGGGACTGTAATGATGGGGGAATCAAGCGATTTTTCTTTTTTGTGGTTGCAGGAAAGAAAATTGAAATATTTTTGTGCTAAGTAATCTGTTCCTCTATTCAAAAACAAAACGGTTACATTAAATGCAGCCCCACCTACTTTCTTTCACTTTTCTCTGTTCGGGCACCACAAACAAAATTGAGTAGTTCGCTTCTCCCTGAGCGACTGAAGCGATGTTGGAGTGAGTTTGTGCTCATGCTGGATTTTCCTTTAAAGTTAAATTCGGGCAAAGTACAGGTGCCCTTGTAGTTACATCAGTTGTGTTCAACATATATGGCTTTTTAAGCTGTTTAAGATGCATTCAGAGGTCAGCATATGGCATCTGTGCTCACCAAGTTCTTATTGGTGACCTGCACATTGCACCTGTCTAGTAGCTGAAATGGAGACATACACTGATTAGCAAGTCAGTGAGTTATATTGGACAGCAAGTAAACATATTTTCCCTGAAGTTAATTTGTTCAAAGAGGAGAAAATAGGCATTTCAGTTTGTTTTGTATGGGACTGCATATCTGCAGACCAGTCAGGGTGCACATGCTGACCCGTGCCTAAAATGGTCACATGAGTATCAGACCTGGACTACAGAGCAATGGAGGAAGGTGGCCTGGCCTGATGAGTCTTGTTTTATTTTACATGATGTGGATGGCCTGTTGCATGTGTTCCACTTACCTGAGGAAGGGTTGGCACCAGGAATGCAGTATAGGAGCAGAGTAAGCCGGTGGAGGCAGTGTAATGCTTTGGGTAATGTTCTCCTTGGAAACCTTGGATCCTGCCATTTATGGAAATGTTACTTGACACGTACCACCTACCTAAATATTGTTGACCAAGTAGATTCCTTCTTGAAAATGGTACTCTTTGATGGAAGTTATCCTTTTTCAGCAGAATAATGTGCCGTACCACACTGGTTCAAGAATGGTTTGAGGAACACGACGAGTTTGAGGTGTTTACTTGGTCTCCAGATCTCAGTCTAATTAAGCATCTGTGGGATGTGCTGCAAAAACAAGTCTGATCTCTGGAGGGCCGACTTTGTAAATTTACCGGACTTAAAGGATCTGCTACTGATGACTTGGTGCCAGAGATACCACAGCATACCTTCAGAGGTCTAGTGAAGTCTGATTTCTCGATGGGCCAGAACTGTTTTGGCAACTGAAAGGGGGCCTACTCGATAGTAGGTGGGTGGTCATAAAGTTCTGGCTTTTCAAGACAGTCTAATATTTTCTGGGTTTACATACAGGCATGCATTGCTGATAGTTGGTATGTAGAGGGTAAATAATTGGGTACTGTATATACTGGTGAAATTAGAACTCTGCATTTGCATTTTATTTGCTTTGCTGTAATTGTTACAGATGATAGTGAGCAATCTGATGTTGCCAAGGTTCTTTACAAAGACACATGCCACGAGGTAAGTTATACACAGCATTTCATTTACTTTAAGTGTAATTACTTTTCTGGGCACATCTAATACTTGTTTTTAATTCATTACCTTTCATGCTCATTCTCTGATCTCCATTGTGACCAGTTTTTATATTGCTGGCTTCTTCTTAGATTCTCTGTTATTCTGTAGCAAGCTGTAAATAATTATATAACGCAAGATATAAGGCGAGCACAGACAATCAAGTAGCTGCTAGCACAATAAAGGCAAGGTAACAAACCCACAGTAGTCAATTCAAATGTAAGCGCAGCTTGAAAACATAAGCAACAAATGCAATCATAAAGTGCATATGTGAATAAGAGTGTTCATATGATATTCAAGTGACATGAATCTAATAGAACGTCTCAGTCATATATAAAATCATAAAATCTCTTAAAATCTGAACATAAATGGTGAATATAAATAGTCTGTGGCACTACAGGTCAAGTGGTACATGAGTGCTTTTCAGCAATAGTAGTGATTATAAACAGTCCGTGGCACTACAGCAATGCCCGGTATTTGTGGAACTACAAGGTGCAGCAATACCAAATGGAATGCTTGAGAGTGCTCATAATCCAACACAGGAATCAACCACCTTATATGGATGTGCACTCACCAGAATGCTACTTGTATGTTAGCGTTAATGCTGATCCTTATGAGGGGGTCTCAGGAAGCCATAAATAGGGATTGGACTTCTCCAGAGTCAGGGCTCGTTTAGTGTGGGATTTCCGATGCCTCTCCACTTCCGGTTCTCTCCTCGCACTTGCCTGCTGGTTGTGCTGTCTTTGCTATGTCTCTGCGAGACTCTGGAGAAGCCCGGTCCCTATTTATGGCTTCTTGAGACCCCCCCATAAGGATCAGCATTAACGCAAACATACAAGTAGCATTCTGGTGAGTGCACATCCATATAAGGTGGGGGATTCCCATGTTGGATCATGAGCACTCTCGAGCATTCCATCTGGTATTGCTGCACCTTGTAGTTCCACGAATACTGGGCATTGCTGTGATCTGTAGTGCCACGGACTGTTTATAATCACTACTATTGCTGAAAAGCACTCACGTACCACTTGGCACTTCTGTGACCTGTAGTGCCACGGACTATTTATATTCACCATTTATGTTCAGATTTTAAGAGATTTTATGATTCTGTGATTTTATATGATCTGAGATGTTCTATTAGATTTATGTCACTTGAATATCGTATGAAGACTCTTATTCACTTAAGCACTTTATGATTGCATTTGTCACTTATGTTTGAGCGCTGCACTTACATTTGAATTGTATATAATTATAAAGAAACCCTTGTAGCAACCCGGTAAATGTTAAAGGATACGTGTACTTTCACAGACAGTAGGGATAAGTGTGGTTTCTTAGCTTCCCAATCAACATTATTCTGCCATAGTTGCACATTTACCTGAATCTCCCAGCCACAGCTTTCTGCAACTTTGTCAAATTCTTCCTGTCATTGGCTACACCTGCCCAGTGGATCTTCAGACATCTATGGTTCAGTTCATGTGGCTGGGAGGCATTCCTATAGATGTCTGTGGGGATCCAGACCTTTTGGACCACAAGATATGAGAAAAAGGTAAGCGTGGTTGGCATCTGGGGTTGTGGGAGGGTAAAATACTTTTGATGAGGTCAGTTAGGGTAGAATGGATGTACTTTATTTGAACGTACATTTATCTTTTAATGTTTTCAACTAAATTCTGTGGATATCTTTTTAAAAGCATATTCTTTTGTGCACTTTTCTCCCATCCATTTATATCTAGTTCAGTTTCAGGTTAAAATGGTATTCAGGCATGTGTCCCAGAGTTCTCATTTAGGGAACAGAGCTTGACTTCATTGTCCAGCCTGACGTCAGACATAGGGAAAAGAGCAAGGTATCGCCAACCAGCAGAAATCAGACACACATTTAGGAAAAAATGATCAATGTTCCTGTTGACTTATCAGAATGTTTGATCAGCCTTTGCTAATATTGTGAACACCATCCAATGTATGTTTGAATGCATTGAATTGCAGTGAGGGTACTGTTTATGACCAAAGGCAGTGCGGAATGGAGTCATCCTGTACTCAACTTTAAGTTTTTAATTGTACCAAACAAATGCTGTATTTTTGTACGACAGAATCCATGTATAAGTTAGATCACATTAAAAGCCTTTAAATTGATTTGTTTTCTGTAATCCGTTATTTCAGGTTTATGAAAAATCATGTAGCATGAGGGACATGCTAATTCGTTTATGTTTTTCAAAACAACCCATTTGTTAAGCACTTTTTTGTAAATCTGCTATTGGCTAATTACAAATGATGTGCTGTGTGGCCAGATTTTTGGACCAGGGCATTTTCTTCAGTGGCTTTCTTCTTAATGTCAGTGGCAGGAATGGTGCCCCATTATTAGGGTTAGTGGAAGGAATGTTACCTCACTGTCAGTGGCAGGTATGGTGCCATCATTAGTGCTTGTGGGAGGAATGGTACCCCATTATTGTGTCATTGGGAGGAATAGTGCCCCAAGACTGGATAAGGGTAATCAAAGGACCACAGTTTGGAGACCACTGTTTTATACTGTATTCAGGATGCATGGTTTTTTACATTAAAATTGGAGCCAGTTAGTTATCTCTTAAAGTTTCAATTCACGGCATGCATTGAACCTGATTTTTTTTTATTTTTATTTTTTTTTATTTTTTTTTTTATTGTAGTATTTTGCAAACATCCATACATGTGTGTACAGTACATTGTTGATACAATATAATAAGGTATCAATGAGGTGTGCACATGCAGTACCATAGAGTATAGCAGAATATTACATTGTTGTTTTATAGTGATGCAAGGGGAAGATATAAAACTGACTGTGGTTCCATGTAACATAGGTGTATTTTTTTTGTTTTTATTGATCATATAACTTGAATGGGTTTTTTTTATTATTAATATTTTCTTGTGAGGGCAGAACAACCACCAAAGATAATATTCCACATTGGGGAAGTTTTATTGTAATTCCATAGATTTTCCTAGTGTCTATGCAATGTAATTGTCATGTGAAAACATAAGCATACTGTATGATGATGTGTTTAAATATTTTTTCTTATTTCAGCTGGATGAGCTGCAGCTCTGCAAAAATTGCTTCTATTTGTCAAACGCGCGGCCTGACAACTGGTTCTGCTATCCTTGTGTATGTATCATAGGATTTCAATCTTTTGAAAATTTTACCTTGCTTTTCTAAAAACAAATCTACAGGTTTCATTATCCTGGTCGCATATAGGTTTCTGTGCAAAGAAAGATAATGGGTCCACGTGTATAAGATAAAGTTGCCTTATATTTGTAATGTCAAATGCTTGCACTTTGCATCAGACTCCTCATCAGTGGAAAAAAGCTTAATATGCTATGTTGTTCTTGTTTATTTTTCTAATACTTTTTGTTGAATAGAATTGAACATTGTTTTACAGCACATAATGCTTATGTTTCTGTTTCTGATTGAATTCCCATTGTTCTCATTATCAGTAGCTAAACAAGTCAGGTGATGCAGGTCACAGCACACTGTACACTATGTAGAAATACTGTTAGGTTCATAAATATTTGGACATGGCACAATTTTCATTTGTTTGGCTCTGTATGCCTCCAGAATAAATTAAAACGAAACAATCCAAATTAATTTGACGTGCAGACTTTCAGCTTTAATTCGAGGGGTTAAATCATAAATATCAAGTACATATTTTAGGAACTGGCAACCATTTTTATACACACAGTTCCTCCATTTTCAGGGGCTCAAATATTATTGGATAAATGAATAGAATCATAAATGTTCACTTTTAATATTTTGTTGAGAATCCTTTACTGGCAATGACTGCATGAAGTCTGGAACCCATGGACATTACCAAAGACTGGGTTTCCTCCTTTCTGATGCTTTGCCAGACTCTAACTGCAGCTGTCTTCAGTTGTTCTTTGTTTGTGGGTCTTTCTTTCTGCCTTTAGTTTTGATTTCAGCAAGTGATATGCATGCTCAATTGGGTGGAGATCAGGTGATTGACTCGGCCATTGCAGAATATTCCACTTCTTTTCCTTCAAAAGCTCCTGGGTTGCTTTTACATTGTGTGTACTGGATCATTGTCCATCTGTACTGTGAAGCACCATCCATTCAACTTTGCTGCATTTGGCTGAATCTGGGCTGACCGTATATCTCTAAACACTGCAGAATTCATCCATTTGCTTCTGTCTTCTGTCACATCATCAGTAAACACCTTTGATCCAGTGCCACTGGAAGCCATGCATGCACATGCCATCACACTGCCTCCACCATGTTTTAGAGGTGACGTTGTGTGCTTTGGATCATGAGCTGTTCCAAGCCTTCTCCACACTTTTTTTCTTCCCATGATTCTGGTACAGATTAATCTTGGTTTCACCCGTCCAAAGAATGCTTTTTTCAGAACTGGTCTGGCTTTTTTAGATGGTTTTTTTGTCAAAGTCTAATCTGGCCTTTCTATTCAGGCTTATGAATGGTTTGCACCTTGTGGTAAACTCTCTGTATTTGCTCTCGTAAAGTCTTCTCTTGATTTGTAAACTTTGAGAATGATACGTCCACCTCCTGGAGAGTGTCCTTCGCTTGTCTGGATGTTGTGAATGGATTTTTCTTTACCATAGAGAGGATCCTGCGATCATCCACCACTGTTACCTTCCGTGGACGTCAATGCCTTTTTATGTTGCTGAGCTCACCAGTGCATTTTTCTTTCCTCTGAATGTACCAAACTGTGGATTTGGCCACTCCTAAGGTTGCTGCTATCTCTCTGATGGATTTGTTTTGTTTTTGAAGCCTTACAATGACCTGTTTCACTTGCATGGACAGCTTGTTTGAACGCATGATGTAGGTTCACAACAATAGATTTCAAATGCAAATACCACACTTGGAACGAACTCCAGACCTTTTACCTGCTTACTTGATGAAGAAATAATTGAGTAGCCACACCTGGCTATGAAACAGCTTTTGATTCAATTGTCCAATTACTTTTGGTCCCTTGAAAAAGGGGGGATGGCTACTCTTAAGAGCTTTAATTCCTAAACCCTTCCTCCAATTTGGATATACACATACATAAACCTGAGAGTCTGCGCTGTCAGCACTTATCCGTTATATAACTATAGCTTGAATATGTTTTGGCAAATACCTGAAAAAATCTAAAATTGTGCCTTTGTCCAAATATATATTGACCTAACTGTATGTGCAGTAAACAGTGAATGTTGCAACCTCTGCGGCAGGTGCAGCAAGTCACAGCACATTGAATACTCTATTGAAGTGGGTGTAATTTGCACTGCATGATGTGATATTTATAGCAGGGAAGAGAAGGTTAAAGCACATGGCACTGTCTGTGGAAAATAGGTACAACAAAACCGTACAGGATGTGCTCCATATTAGGATGTAGACCATCCGAGCTCATGGTACGCTCTCTAGAGTGCAGTGAAGCAATCACAGTACATGGTACGGTCTCCATAGCAGAGATGCAGCAGGTCCCAGGTACAGGGTAAACTTTCTAGAATGAGGTATTGCAAGCTACAGCCTATAGTTACATAGTTAGTCTGCCTGAAAAAAGACAAAAAGTCCATCCAGTTCACAAATTAAAAGAATAAAAAGTTATAATCCTACACCCACAGTTGATCCAGAGGAAGGCAAAAAACCAGCAAAGCATGATGCAATTTGCTCCTGCAGGGGAAAAAAATCCTTCCTGATCCCCCGAGAGGCAATCGGATATTCACTGGATCAACTTTACCTATAAGTGCTAGTATCCAGTTATATTCTGTGTATCCAAGAAAGAATCCAGGCCATTTTTTTAAAGCAATCCACTGAGCTGGCTAGAACCAACGTTTGAGGGAATCTATTCCACATTTTCACAGCTCTCACTGTGCAGAAACCTTTCCGTGTTTGGAGATTAAAAATTTCTTTTCCTCCAGACATAAAAAGTGCTCCCTTGTCCTCTGTGATGACCTCAGGGTGAATATCTCTACACCAAGTTCACTATATGAACCACTGATGTATTTATACATGTTGATCACATCCCCCTTAATCTCCTCTTAAGAGAGAATAAATTCAGTCCCTCTAACCTTTCCTCATAGCTGAGCTCCTCCATGCCTCTTATCAGTTTGGTTTCCCTTCTCTGTACTTTCTCCAGTTCCCCAATGTTCTTTTATGTGAATTGGTGCCCACAACTGAACTGCATATTCCAGATGAGGTATTACTAATGATTTGTACAGGGGTAAAATTATATCTCTCTCTCTGGAGTCTATACCTCTTTTAATACAAGAGAGGATTTTTCTCGCTTTAAAAACCGCAGCTTGGCATTGCATGCCATTATTAAGCTTGTGATCTACCAGAATTCCCAGATCTTTCTCCACCATTGATTTCCCCAGGTGTACTCCCCCCTAGTATGTATGATGCATGCATATTCTTGGCCCCCAAGTGCATAACCTTACATTTATCAACATTAAATCTCATTTGCCACATAGTTGCCCAATTAAACAGTGCATTGAGGTCGGCTTGTAAGTTGGAGACATCCTGTAAGGACGTTATTCCACTGCACAGCTTGGTGTCATCTGCAAAGACTGAAATGGTATTTTTATAATCCAAGACACTATATTTTTTTTTAAATATATTAAAAAGTGAGGGTCCCAACACTGAACCTTGGGGTACACCACTGACAACCCTAGACCATTCAGAGTAGGAATCATTAACCAGTACTCTCTGAATTTAGTCTTTTATCCAATTTGCTTGAGGTGATTATAGCTGTATTAGTGCATTTGCGACAGAAATAATTGAGTACTGTCCGTGATACTTTTTTTATTTGCACTAACATACAATTTTTAAGGACAAGCTTTCGGGGAATGTCCCCTTCTTCAGGTCTAAGCAGTACTGATCACAATGTGTTATCAAATGTTAGGGGATGTATGGGATGGGAAGAAAAAAAAAATAAAAGAGAACAGAGATAAGACACAGCAAAAGCAAAGTCTGGGGTGGGGGGGGAGACAACACTCACAGAGGCAGTCATGCTTGAGGTTGAGGTGATAGTCATAAAACTGTTGGATAATGAGTGAGGAATCCCATGTCCAAATTCAGGCCGTTATCTCTTGTGTCAAATAGAATTATTCTTAGTTCAAAAGTTTTTCTTTCCTGAATGGATTTGAAATTTCCTTTAAGAACTAGAATATTGAGGTCTCCCAAAGTGTGGTCTGGATGTGCGAAATGGTGTCCCACAGGTGTGAAAAGGTCGTCGTCTTTATGTTCCTTGATGGTATGTCTGTGCAAATTCATCCTTGTTTGCAACTTCTGTCCTGTTTTCGCCAACATAAGATCCTTTGCTGCATTTTCTGCACTGGATAAGGTACACAACATTACTAGAGGTGCAGCTGTATGATCCGGAGATTTTGAAGATCCCTTTTGAGTGTCTGACACTTTTTGATGGATTGATTTGGTTGCACAGTTTGCAGCGTTTCTAATTGCAGGGTTTGCTTCCATTATTTGTGACATCATAATCAGAAGGAAGTTTTCTACTGATTAATTTATTTCTTAGGTTAGGGGATTGTCTGAAGGCCAGTATTGGGGTTGCTGGAATATTTCTTTCAGAGTTCCATCCTCTGTTATGATGGGTTGTAAATCTTTGATTATTTTTCTTATTCCTTCTAGTGCTGGGGTTGTATGTGGTTACTAGAGGTACACGGTTGTTTGTTTTTTTTCTCCTTGTACTGAAGTAGATTTTCTCTTCGGGTCCTCAAGGCTGTGTTTATGCTGGTGTTGATAGTTTTGTCCTTGTAACCTTTCTTATGGAAAGAGTCTGCTAGTGTCCCGAGATGTTTATCTCTGTCTCTTGGGTCAGAACATATTCGGTGGTATCTAATGGCCTGACTGTGTATGATGGCACGTTTCGTGTGTTGGGGGTAATAAATAAAATAATGGAAGCAAACCCTGCAATAAGAAACGCTGCAAACTGCAACCAAATCAATCCATCAAAAGTGTCAGACACTCAAAAGGGATCTTCAAAATCTCCGGATCATGCAGCTGCACCTCTAGTAATGTTGTGTACCTTATCCAGTGCAGAAAATGCAGCAAAGAATCTTATGTTGGTGAAACAGGACAGAAGTTGCAAACAAGGATGAATTTGCACAGACATACCATCAAGGAACATAAAGAAGAAGACCTTTGCACACCTGTGGGACACCATTTCGCACAACCAGACCACACTTTGGGAGACCTCAATATTCTAGTTCTTAAAGGAAATTTCAAATCCATTCAGGAAAGAAAAACTTTTGAACTAAGAATGATCATTCTATTTGACACAAGAGATAACGGCCTGAATTTGGACATGGGATTCCTCACTCATTATCCAACAGTTTTTATTACTATCAGCTCAACCTCAAGCATGACTGCCTCTGTGAGTGTTGTCTCTCTCCCCCCCACAGACTTTGCTTTTGCTGGGTCTTATCCCTGTTCTCTTTTTTTTTTTTTTTTTTTTTTGCTTCCTATCCCATGCATCCCCTAATATTCTGCTAATACATTGTGATCAGTACTGCTTAGACCTAAAGAAGGGGACATTCCCCGAAAGCTTGTCCTCAAAATTGTATGTTAGTGCAAATAAAGTATCACGGACAGTACTCAGTTGTTTCTGTCTTTTATCCAGTTTTCTATCCATTTACATATGGATTTTTCCAAGCCTGTAGACTTTACCTTACACATTAGCCGCGTGTGGGGAACTGTGTCAAACGCTTTAGCAAAATCCAAGTATACCACGTCCACCACCACCCCCTCTGTCCAAGGTTTTGCTCACCTCCTCATAAAAAGAAATCAGATTTGTTTGACAACTTTTGTCTTTCATGAATCCATGCTGTCTGTTGCTTAAAATGTTTTTTTCTAGCAAGAACTATAGAAGATAAACAGGTTTTATAATTACTTGGTAAAGACTTTGACCCCTTTTTAAATATTGGCACCACATTGGCCTTACGCCAGTCTAGTGGTACTATGCCAGTCATTAAAGAGTCCCTAAAAATGAGAAACAATGGCTTTGAAATGACAGAGCTCAATTCTTTAAGGACCCGTGGATCATATGGAACTGTGTCAATACCATGCCCATTGTGGACAAGAGCTCCCCAATCTCCTTTGTATACACAGAGCTGAAGATGGTATTTAATAAATTTGCCTTCTCTTTGTCCCCAGTCACCCACTATAGCTTATTTTGTAAAGGGCCTACATGCTCAGACCGGATCTTTTTACTATGTGTTGAAACTTGATGGCTGAATAAAGGCAACACCTGATTCTAGCATATGGGGAGAGCAGTTGGAGGGTTGGAACTTTACATTACTCACAAAAACTGTAAGGGCAAATACATTGTGAACAATCTGCTGTTTCTTATTTTACATATAGCTTTTTTTTTTTATCTTGCAGATCCCTAACCATGAGCTGGTTTGGGCTAAGATGAAAGGTTTTGGCTTCTGGCCTGCCAAAGTCATGCAGAAAGAAGACAATCAAGTAGATGTTCGATTCTTTGGCCATCACCACCAGAGGTAACACACATATCACAAAAATTGCTCATATTAGGGTTCAAAGTTGAAAGCGAGATGATCTGGAATATACACATTTTTAGCAGAGAACAGAAGGCTGTGTGTAACCGATGATACATAGAGAAACAGTAATCAAATCGGCATGCCCATTGGCAATTTAGTCAAATCCATGAAATCTAGAGGAATGAGTTGGACTGGACCATTAAGGATGATAAATGTTAGCTAAATGATGAGAGGCTGACTATAGAAAGGGAATGGGCAGTATTGGGGTTGATTTACTAAAACTGGAGAGAGCAAAATCTGATGCAGCTGTGCATAGAAACCAATCAGCTTCCAGTTTTTTGGGGGTTTTTTTTGTCAAAGCTTAAACTGGAGAGTGCAAACTCTGGTGCAGCTTTGCATGGTAGCCAATGCGCTTCTAATTTCAGCTTTAGTAAATCAACCCCTATGTGTCTTACTAGAAATATATAAGGGTTTGTCACTGAGGAAGGGGCACACATTTTCTCTGAAACATTGCGTTATTTTGTCCAGTCACTGAATAAAGTCATTTGTTGACTCCCCAATAAAGTTATTTAAATTAAATAATTACTTTACACTACACTTTGTGCTGATTTACTGCTGGGGTTTTGTGTAGACTGAATGTTTTGTTAAGCATGTAATCAATTAGGACTTCTCTGATTTTACCTAATATGAGGAACTACTTTGTCATTAAAACCTGTCACAGATCTGAGAAACTTAGATGAAATGTATAATGAAAAAACAATCATTATGTAGAGCATAGCTTTATATAAAAAAAAACAGCCACCCAGAGCCAGAAAAATACGCAGCTGTAATTTCTTACAGATCACAATTTTTTTCCTGTGTGTGTATATGTGTGTGATACACACACACAGACTAACACGCCTTCCCTAATCCCCCTGAGCTAAGAAACCCCTTTCCTAGCTGTGTTCTTGTATAACTGTATGGGACTATCTCCCAAGCCTTTCCAGTTTAGAGAGATTGTCACAGTATACAAGTTTGTTAGGTTACACTGCACAGGCTCAGCCAGTGCTAAGGAGGATTTTCACCTGGAGGATGTCAGCAAACCTTGCTTCTGTACCAGGTCAACCCTCCCCCGCTTGGGCTGGCGGTTTATCGACTGTTTAGCTTGAGAGCTCTGCCATTAGAAATCGTAGAAAAGCTTGTTTGGACTGGAATTCCGATTTGATGAATATTAGCAGTATTTGTATAGGAGAGCTGAGACAGTTTTGCATATCTGTAGTCATATTTGTGAAACGTGCTTGAACACAGGGCCTGGATCCCTTCAGAGAACATTCAAGACATTACAGTCAATGTTCACCAGTTACATGTAAAGCGCAGTATGGGCTGGAAAAAAGCTTGCGATGAGCTGGAACTGCATCATCAGCGCTTCCTACGTGAAGGGCGGTTCTGGAAATCCAAAGGTGAAGACAAAGGGGAGGAAGAAGCAGAATCTAGTATCTCATCCACAAGTAATGAACAGGCAAGTAATCGGCACCAACAAAATTCTTCATTTGTCTTGCACCCCTCTTCTTTCCAGCTGGAACTGTAGCACATTGCACATCATTTAGCCTCTTCAGAATTCTTTCTTTCTTTGGCAGCTGTGACCTGCTTACTTTCAAATAGGACTGCAAAGACAGTGCAGACACATTACTGTTCTGAAGTTCTGTTTCTTCTGGTTATGCAATAGAGGAAACTAATTGTTGTGAGCTTTGAAGGTTACTAGATGACAAATCTGGTGGGATTCTAAAATATGTTTTAAGTGGTAATAAACCCAAACGCAGACATTTATTATATTACAGCTTACCAATTCTTAGATGGTGACTGCATTGTATCTCTCTTTATGTGTTGTGTATGGGATCTGGAGACCCCTTATCGACTTGTACTTATAGGCTGGACACACTCAACATCCTCATAATATTGTGATTTGTGTACTGTGTGACATCAATATAATTGCACAAGGGCGAAGCTAAGACTAAGTGCATATAATGTTTTATAAGACTTTCATGTAGATAAATGAAAGTCCGTGTTCTTTGTATCTGAGTGCCATAAATGTTGAGTGTTACACTATACGATCAATTATTATTAGATTGGTATAAACTTCTCTACATACATACTTTATACATATAGTGATCTTAAGAAGGTATATGTAAGCTTATAAGAGTAAGCTTGCCATTCTCGTTGGAATGTTGCCGATGCCAGTTTGGGACTTTCCACTTTAGTTGGAACGTTGAGGCCATATCTAACCTAGTACATCAGACCCTCCCATTTGCCATAAGGGAGGGGGGCTGTGAACATGTGATAAGAGTACCACTTATTTACGTGACATACAAGTCTTCCAGATTTGTTTAGTGCCAGAGGCCATTTTACGATAGTCCAATAAGACTATATGGGAGGTGTCTGCCATTTTATGAAAGGTCTAAAAAGCCTTATCTATCTTAAGCACTGGTCATGTCATGAAGTAATGTCTAGAAGCATGTCATTGTGATTGGAATATATCAAGGAAACATGTAATGTTATGGGACATATTTCAGTCCTCAATGTAATTGGATAAATTTGAAGTATGTATGGTGATTGGTCAGTAGCTAATGTACCAATGCAAAGTAGAGTTGACTTGCTATCTTGATGTAATAAACTTATACAATCTGCTGTGAAATCAAGGTACATACTAGACTGATGCTAATTCTGATCTACCTGCATGTTTTTGGCCAAGATGCATTTGGCCAAAACTTTAAACTGAAATGTGGGGGTGGGGAGACTCAAATTTTTTTTGTATTTTCTTTTTTAACTTTTAATGTGTGTTTTTATTTATTTCAACTTATGATTTTATTGCTATCACATAGGGGTCCCCTATGTGATGGCATATAAGTGGCAGGTCCTCTTTGTAAACGGGGGGGGGGGGGGAGCAGTGTGTGCAAGGTGGGTTTAGGAGAGGAGCACTGTATAGAGTGAGGGAGAAGTGTATACAGAAAGGCTCCCTCACTTGCTTCTGCTAAATGTCATTGTCGACTTTTTTTTATTTTTTTCACTTTATAGCTCCAAGAAGTAGCTGTCATTCACCCCTCTGCTAAAGTAAACAAAGGGACGGGGTCACTGGGTAGAGTCATTGGGTGACCCTGCCCCTTTGTTTACTTTAGCAGTAGGGTGAATGACCGCTCTTTTTCGGAGCTATAGTCGCAATTATTGGCACCTGTATCGGCCGATAGGGCTTTTTTCAACCAATGTGCTTCAGCCACTGGAATTTCGATGTGTCACAATAAATCCTCATCTGATCAAGACCATCTGCATCCTGAAGTCTATTGTTGCTGCTGAGTGTCCCTCCCATAGACCCCTATTCGGCTGGCGCCTGTCACTCGGATCACAAAATTCAGTGGGACTGAGATCCGCAGTCCATACAGTCGGAGAGAGTCAACAGACGCAGGCCCACGGTGAGTAGTTTGTCTAACTAAAAAAAAATTGTCTGATTTCTCTTGCCAGAGGGAATGTTGATCTAGGCTTGACTCATATTGACAAGGTTCTAAGCGAACCAAATTGAATAGTGATGCAGCTGATCTCGGTCTGATGAGGGGTTTGCTATACATGTTTGTATATTAATTTGTGTCTTGTGCTGAACTTGCATGCCAGCTTGATTTGTGCTTGTGGTTTGTAAGAAGGAAACACTCGAACTGTGTTGGCTAAGTGTGAGAGATAAGAAACTGTGGTTAGCTCTTGTTACTACGCTGCTATGTCTTTGCTGCTATAAGAGTGATTCTATGTTGAAAGATCATGACTGAATTGTCTTTATCCTGTGTTTTTGTCTGTGTATATGAAGTGAAAGTATATTCCTTGTCTGAAAAATACTGAGTGAAATGAGTCTGATTAAAATGGGAGGCTCGGACTGATTGAGTGATGGACTCTGCCATTAGGCATAAGCTTGCTGTGAAGTTTGATCCAACAGGTGTTTGTTGGTCAACACGGAAGCCCTGAGTTTATTGTTTAAGGTAATGGTCTTGGATACAAGTCCTCTTTGAAGGCTGACAAAACAAGGCAAGGGAGAGTGTCAACACCAAATGCTTGGTTTAGGGTTGTTTGCACTGCACTACAAATGTAATAGCGAGAGCAATAATTCTAGCTCTAGACCTCCATTGTAACTCTAAACTGATAACCTGTAAAATTATTAAAGCGTCGCATATGGAGATTTTTAAGTATTCTAGTTTTTCACTATTCTACAAGCATGCACAATTTTAAAGCTTGACATGTTAGGTATTTATTTACTCATATCATCTTTTATATTTAATATAATTAATATAATTTTTTTTTGCATTAAAATTCACTAAAGTGTATTTTTCCTATGGTCATTGGTGGACACAGCCTCTTCTTATTTATTCATGACCAGACAGGGTTTTAAAGCCCCAACTACAGGAATAGGACACTAGGCAGAAAAATATTCGGCACCTCCTGTGGCAGTCCTCTCTGGGTATAAAAACCCCCTAACCCCCTCTCTGCTATAGGCCTCCAGTCATTCTGCCTACTGATCAAGAGTAGTGACGTATTTCCCTGCATCATCTGGTCGCCAGGCTACAATGGGGGGCTGAAGGCGTGGGACAAATTTTTCTACAGTGTCCTGGGGACATGTCTGTGTTGTTTCTCACTATGAAGGGGGATTTTTTTTTTTTTTCTGTTCAGGGACATCAGGCTATTCTCTTGAGGTGATTGACGAGGGCCTCTGCCCTCTGGGTGCTGCGGTCTCCGGCTCTACAGAGCGGAAAGTCCTTCCGTTCTCTTCAATGGACTGTGGTCACGACAGCTGCCAGCCTTTTGGGCTGGGGTGGAGTTTTGGAGCCAGACTCGGCGGAGGGTCGCTAGAATCGGGTTTGGAGGAGACTTGACTGCCCATCAATGTTCTGGAGCTTCAGGCGATCAGGTTGTTGCTTACACATTGAGCTGATCGCCTTCAGTTTATGCTGCTGAGGATTATTTTGGACATCGCCACAACGGGGGGGGGGGGCATGGACAGTAAAGCAGCAGCGCTGGAGACATCTCGTCCTAAGATGGGCAGAAAGGTTCATTCCGGCTCTGTCCGCCATTCTCATTCTGGAGGTGGAAAACTGGCAAGCAGATTATCTCGGTCATCAGACGCTGGATTGGGATGAGTGGTCCCTGCACCCAGTGGTGTTCCTTCGCACCACCTTCGCCTTTCCACCTCTCCAACTGATTCTCTTGTCTAATAGGTTGGGGTTGAAAGGATTCTGGTCATCCTGGTGGCTCTGGACTGGCCTCGCAGTCTGTAGTATGCTGGTGTGGTGCAGTTGGGAGCGGGCTGCCTCTTCAGGAGGACCTTCTGTCTCAAGGGTCAATGTTCCTCCCTGTTTTACCATTTCTGGCTTTGACAGCGTGACTATTGGAAGCCAATTTCTGAAGGACAGGTGGTTGGTTGGCCCAGTGATTATGACTATGCTAACAGCTCATACGTTTACCTCCCCAGAAGATTTGTCATTGCACCTGGAGAGCTTATATCGTTTGATACAAAGTTCTGGGGTTCCACTCTTGCTCATTCTCAGTGGCTCAGGTGTTGGCCTTCCTCCCAATGTTGCATGGATGAGAAGCTTGCATTGAGCACAATCATGGGTCAAGTGTCTGCTCTGGCTGTTTTCTTTCAGAATTCTTTGGTTAGCACTTTCATTCAAGGGGTTTATGTGGTGCCCCCTATGAGCTTCCCATTGCCACCAGGGGATTTGAATTTGGTGGTTTTGGCTCTTCAGAAGCCTCCTTTTGAAAGCATTTGAGGTACTCGCTTATATACGCTTTCACAACAGTTGCCTTCCTAGTTGCTATCTCTTTGGCTCAGAAGGTGTCGGAGTTGGCGGCTTGTTCTGTAAGCCACCTTGTCTGATTCTACATAAGGACTCAGTGGTTCTTTGCCCTCCCTCTTTCTTTCTTCCGAAGGTGTTGTCAGGTTTTTGTTTGGATGAGGACATTGTTCTTTGTGTCCTCGGCCATCCCTTTCTAGAGAGGTGGCCCTGCACTTCCCGGACATGGTTTGCGCAATTCGCATGTACCTTTCTGTGAAGGATGCCTTTCAAAGGTCCGTTTCTCTTTGTGCTCACAAACGATTCCAAAAAAGGCCTGATGGACACTTCTGCCTTTAGTTCTTATTGGATTCGGCAGACGATTGTGCAGGTGTAGACCAATAAGGGCAGAAACCTCCCTTCCCTGTTCTGGCGCTCTCCATCGGGGAGTTTAGTGCCTCCTGAGCGTTCCTGCGTCAGGCATCGTTTGCACAGAGGCAACTTGGTTATCTATGCCCATGTTTAGTACATTCTAAAGGTTGCTGTGTTGGCATCTTCTGATGCTAGTTTTGGCCGCAAAGTATTGTAGACGGCTGTTTAGGATTCCTGGGCACTCCTTGGGTTTCAGAGTGTTCGCATGTTGCCCTGAATTTGTTCTCCATTAGTTGGTTTGCACACCCTTCATTATGGCACTGTTTGGGGACATCCCTGTTAG